ACGTAACAACAACAACAACATAGACAACCAAGAGAACAAATAGGTCTGCCATGGAGAAAGTGAAACCAGAGTGCTGTTTGGAGACAAAGAGGGTGAAACTGAGCCTTAAAAACTTTGGGCATGTAGGAGAGGAAGACCCACAAGAAGATGGTTTGACAAAGTAAAAATGGACTCAAGTAGGTCTGATATGGAGAGGACGGAACAGGATAGGGCAAGGTTCAGACCTACTGTTCATAGGGTTACTCTGAGTCAGAGTTGACTAAATGGCATGTAACAAGAAGTCAGAGCTATGCCAAGAAGTATTTTGTTTGTTAGAACAAGTGTGAGGTTAAGGTACCTTTTCACCCCTATACCCATGCATATCATCACTTTTAAGAAGAGATAAATTATAAAGAAGAAATACAATTTTAATAATTCTATCCTTTATTGATAAATATATTCCATAAAACAAAAATATCACTATCCATTGTACAGATCAGAGAGCAAACAAAGGAGCATTAATAGAATAGTTAAATATGTTTTTTCCCTTTTTTATTAATATTTTTCCCTATTTTTACTGTAATTTGCATGAAAGTCTATAAAACAATCCACTTCATAAACAACATGCCTCTGGAAACTCTATGAACTTTGCAAAATGAAGAGAGTTATAGAAAGGCTTCAGATCTTTAGTTCATATGGTCACTATGAGTCACACAACGGCAATCACCAACAAAAACAATAATTATCCATACACGTTTTGTTTGGTGGCTTTTTCTTAATTGTCTTGTGTTGGTGTTTTGGGGTGGGGTTTTTTTGTGTGTGTGTGTTTAAATAATTAATAAGATTACCAACAGTGTGTTAATTACAAATAATGAGGGAGGAGCTGGAGGTGGTGCATTTTCCAAAGGGGGAACCAGGATCCGCAGGCCCAGGGGTCCCTTCACCCAGGCGGGTGGCTCCGAAATAAAGGCGTCGGGGAGGGGTCAGGGCTGCTCCTGCTTCTTCGTGACTGAAATGCGCTTTTTTCCGCGCCGCCAGCATCTCATAGAAGGGGTCCACGCTCACAGCCGCCTGGATGGACTTGATCCACTCGTCCTTCTCCTCCTGCGGGGGCCGAGATCAGGTAGACCATGTGATTGCCCTCCACCACGCAGCCATCGGCCTCCGTCTTGCAGGCTTTGATGAGCTGCCCCTTGTTTTTGGGAATGTACAGCTCAAAGCAGTTGGGCTTCCGGGGGTTGTTCACCTCACGGATGCTCAGGTTCTCCAGGGGGACGATTCCACGGGGCTCCTTGTCCGTCGTGTACTCAAAGAAGTAGAGGCAATTGTCAATAAGAATGAACCAGTGCCGCTTCCACGTCTTCACCTGGCCCCCCAGCTTGAGGAGCCAGCCCTCGAGGTCCGGGTTGGAGAAAGTGTGAGTCAGATCATTCCCCTCGTCCTCTGGGATCTTGAATGGCTAGTTCTGGATGCTGTCATAGAGGTTCCTGAGCAGCGCCTCCAGCAGGTCCCCGCCCTCGTTGATGCCCTGGTTCATGGCCACAAAGCGCTCAAGGCCCGGCTTGTCGCGGACGTTGGGATTGTGCAGGCTGGTGTTCAGCATGATCACAGCAAAGGACAGGACGTAGCACGTGTCTGTGAGCTGGAAAACCCCAGGGTTGCACAGGCAGTATCGCTGGGCAAAGGCCTCCATCATCCGATCAATTTTCTGGGCCTCTCCGGGGAGGCAGAAGCTCCATAGAAATTGCCCAAGCGCCTGGACCAGGTTGGGGTCTGTGAACTCGTGCAGATCCACGAAGGCATGGAGCACTGAGATGTTCAGCTCTTCCCTCTCCCCCAAGTAGTCCCCGATGGCTGTCTTGTTCAGGCCCTCGCCTTTGTACAGGAAGCGGGTGATCTCCTCGGGGGTGTTCTGCAACAGTTCATTCTCCACCAAGAACTGGATCCCCTTCTTAGGATCCATGTTGAACTTCTTTCTACCCGAGGCCATCTTCCGGTTCCTCTGCGAGGTCCTACTGCCCTCTTTGGCCTCCAGATCCTCGACTACACTCATGGCCTCACTCAGTTCTTCCTGCAGGCGCTGGATCCCCACCAACAGCTCCTGCTTGCGCCCCGGGATGTTCTCCAGCTCCATGCGCTCCTCGGGCGTCAGGTCTGGGGGCTCATAGACACCGTTCTCCATGGCGGCTAGGAAGGCCCGCCGGTCGGGCCGGGATCCGCGTTGGCCCGCGGGCTCGGGTGAGCCCGCTCAAACGCCCCAGGAGCCATCATCGCCTTCTCTTGGGGTGTTTTTTTTTTCTCTTCACTTCTTTCCTCCCTGCCCACTGATTTCCTTTACCTCCCCATTCTCATCCCCTTTTTAATGTATTTTCTACAAAATAATTCATAAGCATGAAAGTTTATAAATTCAAAGCCTTGCTTTAACATCTTGTTAATAAATCAAAGACCAACCTATATATTACTTTAGATGTGTGATAAACTTTGTAGGTCTTTAAGCAAACAATAACTAGGGGGCAAAGAACAAAGAAGAAAGGAAAATGTGGCTACAAGACAGGAAAGAAGATAGGAAACATAAATGAAGGAAAAGAGAAAGAGAAGGAAAGAAACGAAGATCAACAAATATAGTCCTAAGAGTTGAATTTCTCTCTCCAAAATCATACAGTATTGACAATTGTTTGATTTGTTTCCTTTGATCTGACAGTACCCATGGGACCTTACCTCTCCACATAATCTAGTAGTCGTGAACAGTGATTTGAAGCTGGTGCATCATGACCTCCGACTGCATAGAGAAATCCATCACAAGTGGCCACTCCAACACCACCTCTCCGCTTGCACATAGGAGCACACATATTCCACTTGTTTGTATGGGGGTCATAGTATTCCATTGAACTCAAGCAGGAACTTCCATCACGACCTCCAACTGAATATAACCTAAAAGCAATTGGAAAACATGATTTAATAATAAAATCTGGATGACAAAATTGTAGAAAAGGAAAACCATTTAAATATAAATTTCAATAGCAATACAAACCTAAAATACTTTGGAAAGATATCTTTTCTACTGGAGACTTTGAAAAGCTAATTTTAAATTATTACCTCAAAACATACCAGAACACTTGATCGTGCTAGTGCGAAACGTATACTTGGACCGAGAGGCAGTTGGCAGAACAGAGCAAGGAAACTATGCATGGTTCAAAATTGGGAAGGGTGTATGCCAGGGGTGTGTCCTGTCTCCATACCTTTTCAACCTGTATGCAGAGCAGATTATTCGGGAGGCTGGGCTCTATGAGGAGAATTGTGGTGTCAGGATTGGTGGAAGATCTATCAACAATCTGTGTTATGCAGATGATACAACCCTGCTTGCTGACACTGAGGAGAACCGGAAGTGCTTCCTGCAGAGGGTCAAGGACTACGGCCTCCAATACGGACTGAGGTTCAATGTCAAGAAGACAAAGATTCTCACCACTGGACCATATGGCACCATCAGGATGGATGGTGAAGAGACTGAGATTGTTCACAGCTTTAGTCAGCTTGGTTCCACAATCAACACTCTTGGCACCAGCAGCCAGGTAATTAAAAGACATATTGCAATGGGAAAGTCTGCTGTTAGGGACCTCTCCAAACTACTGAAAAGCAATCGTGTCTTTCTGGAGACTGAGGTGCATCTGATACAGGCCATGGTCTTTGCAATCACTTGTTATGTATCAGAGAGTTGGACAGTGACTAGGAAGGATAGA